CACCGCGGGGCTCGGGCCGCACCGCAGGGTTTGCGGCGGAATTGGGGTGGGGGACGCTAGGAATACAGATGCACAAGTTTAGGGGGAGAAAAAAGCAGCACGCACAGGATCCGTACGCGCACTGCTTTGCGAACTGATCTCAGAGACGTTTGTCCACGTGCACCGCTTGCGGGCACAGCCTTTTAGGAAGAAAGGTACCCCCTGACAACCGATGGGGACAGCTAGGTAATATTCTTAGCACATTTTCCTCGGGTTAAAGCAACATTTGCCTTTGCGCATACTGAGCCAAATACAACGCAAATTACTTCTTTTGATTGTAAATTACGTCCAGAAAATTCTCTCAGCACACACAAGTAAACGAACAAGCGAGTTCTGCATTTCCATGGAACATGCAAGTGAAACTGCGGCACTCCAAGCCTTTTTTCCAGGTTTGAAGTCATTGAGAACAAGTGACCTCGTGATGCTGATTCCTAGCAGCACCACAGCAGAGTGTTCTATATATAGCCAGAGGAAGAAAGCAAGATTAGAAAGTTTCTTGCCTTTTTATAGCTACAAAAAACCCCTTAAATATTGCTATTTATGTATTTGCTTTTAAACTGTAACAGTTGTTTCTCTGATCAATGATAATGATTGACAGAGACTTAATTCACTATCATACTCCTCACCAGTTAGCTGAGAAACTAGAGAAAGCTGTCTCAAAGCCCCATGTCAACTCACATGACCGATGGCAACATTGCTGATAAGACAAAACTTCACAGATCAGAGCACCCCAAAGGGACCAACAGAGGTTGCCAGAATTGGCACAGACTTTTACCTGCACAGACTATATTGGTCTGCAACAGTAGCTCAGCAGTTCCTTGTGAGATATACATGATTTAGGAAGGTGCCGGGTATCTCGAATTCATTAATGACTGTTGTGATGTAGCTATATAAACGGCTAGCTGTATACGATGCAATATGGTTTACTTTTAGTGTAGGGGGAAATCTAACTTGTATCTAAGGATTAAATTGTGCTGCCAAATGTGTACTTGAGCTTAAGGGTCCTTTTCCTCTGACACTCCTTATAGGATGCTTCGAATGCTACAAAAAGACAGCATTTGAGGTTTTTACCAATTGCTTTATTATTTCTAACCACTCCAACTACTTTGAGATAAAGCATTCACCAAATGCAGGAGATGATCAGCTTCCCTTATCATGAAAGGGACTTCACTTAAAAGCTGCAGCACTGTTTACAGAAAGACATGAAAGACTAATTGCTTTTAAAGAGTGCTATTCCAATGGATTTCCAAACAGCTTTAAAATTACCATTAACAACTGTTAGCTATTTTAATACAATATATGTACACAGACTTCCACGATAGATCATTTAAATGAGAATCTGCTTCATCACAAGTACCGTTTATGCAACTGGGTGGTGGGGAGGAACAGATGTAATCACCAGGGGCTACCCATACAATGCATTTTGTTTCCTTTTCTCCACCTGCCCAACCATTGCACTTTTCCCAAAAGAACTAAACTATCCTAACCTTGAGGCTGGAGATCTGCCTCTGGCCTCTAACCACAACACTTGCACAGACTCCCCAACTGGAATTGCTACGAGACAAACTCCAAGGTGGCAATTAAGACAACTATGTGCCTCCCTAAAATCTGATGTTGTCAGACCAGCGTTAGAAAGAGCTCCCCAGGATATAGCTACTGCAGTGGAAACGCTTCCTCTGGTCTCAGTTTCTCACAATCAGCTCATAGCGCTAAAAGAACCAGAAAAATCAGCTTGACAGGCACTAACTAGAAAACAGGCTACTTTGGCTGACGGGTTATACTAACAATAGTTAGCTGGCCAAATAAGAGAGGGGGGAAAAAAAAAAAAGCGCCTGTGTTCATGTCCAAGTTAGGAGTGAGAGCTCAAAGAGAACATCAAGATTTGACTGATAGCAGTTGGCAAAACAAGGCAAGAAACATGGGAAGAACAATCTAAATCCTTCATACCTTATAAATAATTGACTTGAGGTAAGCATTGGAAAAATTTCTATCAACATACCAACCTGCTTGGCCAACACTTAGAAACAGACTTAAAGTTTATTGTAAAGTGCTTTAAAAACAAGTTTACTATGCCAAGATGAAGTCAGAGATTTTTGCCAACCCACAGTATTGTGCATTGATTCATGCAGATTTATAGTTTGTAGTAGACATCAGTGTAATTACAGGAAAAATAAACCTGGTGCTGTTCACCATGGCATACGAACAATAAAATCCTGAAGAAAAATGAAGTAAAAACATACTACAGAACCCAGGGCAAAGGTTGTATTTTACCACTCTATTTTGTTAATCTCAAAAGCTTTCACCTTTCATCTGACAATCACAGTAATACTACTAAAATTCTTGTTGTGTCAGAAACAGCCGAGTTCAAAAAGACGTCTTAAAATTGTAAACAGAGTACCTGTAGGTGTGTGATCAGCATGCAGTTTCTATTCACTTTGCTATTAAATGCACTACTTAAAAGACACATAAACAAGGCAAAAAAAAAGGCTGGGGGGGGGGGGGGGGGGGAATAAAGCTAGCAATCTCAACCAAAAATGAATTAAAGAATTAAGTAAAGCACTTGCCAAGAACTATTTCCATCTTGGATTACAGTTCCAAATCAACACACAGTCCTAATGAACTCAGCATTCAAGATCTACATAAACAGAAAAGTATTTTGCACAAGAAGTATTTATACAATTCAACAGCCACACTTGGAATTCAGTACTAGCCTAAAACAAAGCTGCTCTCATCTGAGATCATTACTGCTATTCAGGCTATGTATGACACCGATTAATCCCTTCTAATGCGAACACACAGAGTTGTGGCTGTCCAGGTATTGTTAATTCACAAATGAAAGGGTGAACAAGTTAATTCAAAATTAATGGCAGAACCTTTGAGAACACATGCAGCCTTATAACTAACTGCTATTTTTGATGTGCCACCATTTACAAGGAGGAAGCAAGCTGCTTTGATTGTTAACAAAGAACAGCTCAATGCCCGTACGCTGCTTCTTGCTTTGTATGTGGTCCACAAGCTTTCTGAAAGAGAATTTGTTTTGTGTTTACACGCAGCCTAGCAGAACTGAGTCCTTCCTCATTCATGCTAGCCTTATCGTTTTAAAAATCAAATCGTTACGGTTGTATTCATGTAATGTGTCCCATATCAGCAATCAAACATTCATTGAACCATACTGTATTTTTCTGAGTTGTATAATGCATTTAATCTCACACAGATTTGTGAAATATTTGCAGGTAAGAAAGTTAGATGAGCCTTCAATGCAAGAAGCTGCCAAAGCACAGCTTCAAGTGCTGTTCAGATGTTCACATGGGGTTATGTGCCTTGTTACAGGACCCCTTATAACCTCTGAAAACACTTTGTTGTTTTTATGACACACCAGTGAACACATTAGACTAATTTTATTTTTTGGATACTTCTGTTGTACCAATGAGAGTGGTACAAAATTTATCCAGACAGCCCCAAACAAGCACAAGCACTGCTGTACTCCGCGGTGTGCTCCGCAGAGAGCAGTAATTCAGGGGCTGAAGAGAAGCACAGGTCCTCTCCACCGCATTCACAGGCGAGCTATCTTTCGTTAATATTCTATGTTGATCCACTGAATCTGCTGTGTACCATATAATATTACTACCTCAAAACAATCAACAAGAATTCATATCTGTTGTGCAAGGCAGTGAATTCCAAGCTGCATCAGAAGTATGTATACGTTTACGCATATAAGGCACGCTGCACCTGCACCAAGGGTCATTAAACAGGTCAAGTTTAAGCCTAAGGCTAGCTAAGCATACAAACTTACCAGTTTCTATTAATACAGGAATCTCTTCAAAACATCCTTTTATTTTAAAAGTATGAAAGAGATCAAAAAAGACTCCAGAACTTGGATGCTCTGATAGCCTGCAGCTAAGCTGGCAAGAGCTTATGTGCAGGGGTTTGAACCTGGCTCTTTCTAATGCCCACAGGTACAACTTTTTCAATAAGACATTAAGAAGTTAACTACAATCAGTGTCCTGGATCAGCTAGTGCTCTTCTGTACAGCACAGACACCAAGGTCTGGACCTGAAGGCCCATGTCACATGCCCACCCCATATAGCCTCAGTTTGAGACTGACCTAGCTATGAGGATTTCAATGCAGATTCCATTACAATGAACTATGATTAAATTAATGAAATATAGGTACAATTTGAGACTTTTTTTAACCTCTTGAGAGTTTGACTTTTAAATTGTACTCCACGAAGGTAGTAGGACACACACGATTATTCACTTTAAAACTATGCTAAATATGCATTTCCAGTTGCGACAGTATACATATGCAATTATTTTTGCTACCGAAACCAAAAGGACAGTTCAAAAGGAAAGTAGCAGTAGTAGCGCTTCTCATGCGACACCTTTGACAGGATTCAAACTTGAAATCATCAATACTGTTTCTCAAGACAGAAGTGATTTATCCCTGTCCTCCCTCCAAAAGACTGCGTGAGCCTAAACGTGCAAAGCATTTCAGGGACAGGGATTGTATTTATTGTATGCACATAGCATAATACACCACGGACAACACACATCTTTGCCTTCGCCTTTCCAGTCAGGCTACAGAGGTTTACTCTAAATACTATGTGAGACCCACCCTCTCATTGAGGGTGTCCCAATGCTTCATGGCCGGGACTAAAGCAGTGACCCAGTGCAAGCAGGTGAGTCTTTGCCCTGATCTCAGGTTGTTCCTGAAAAAGGTGGCGAGATGAGCAGTCTTAAACACTTGGGTATCTCTCTTCCCTAAGGAAAGGGCTGGGGGGGGGAGGAGGGGCTGTGCAGTGGGCCATGTACCAAAGACCTTCCCTGCAAGGTGGCACTCAGACACAGCCTGGAAAGCATGCAGCCTCTGTTAAGTACCATCTTACACTAAAGTTTCAAAATTGCCACAC